CAGTGTGGCTGAGATGGGGTCGGTGAGGAGAAGAGAACGATGAGAGGAAGTCAAAGAGGTCACAGGGACGGGAGGGGACTGAGCCCATAGGCAGTAAGTCCTCTTACCAAAGAGTGAGAGGGGAACCAGGGAAGGATCTCCAGCAGAGCCAAGCCATAACCTGACTTTGGTCTCAAGTGGATCCCATGCTGCTGGGAACATTCCAGTAGCTAGGCTGTGTGGGGTGGTAGGCTCCCCTGACTTGGAAAAGCCTGAGTGGCTGGAAGGAAGAAGAGAGCAGGAGAAGGGAGAGAGGAAGCTAGTGCTCACTGGGCCACCAAAGATGCCAGGACAGGGAGAGGTAGAGGGGCGGATCCGAAGGCAAGAAAGGCTGCTGGGTGGACAGCAGAAGTGCCCTGGGGCTTCTCTCTGCCCTGATGACAGCTGGACCCAGCTAGCTGGTGCTATGATCTGGGGAGAAGCGGAAGGGAGAGACAGTGTGGGGTTCTGGTTGGGATGGTAGGGCGCCTGGCTGGAAGACTGCCACCCTCAGGGAAGAATGGGGGCTGGAGGTGTAGAGAGCTGTGACTTCTTCCTCTGCCCCAACAGAGTATGGCTTCTCCCCACAACTTCTCAGGCAGGTCCTCGCTGTTCGTGGGTTCCTGACCTTGCTGTTTTTGGTGGCATTTCTTGTCAGGGGAAGAGTTCAGGTGACCTTGAGTCCATCATTCTCCCTCTCTAAGCTTCTTAGTTAAAGAAGGGGTTTAACTCGATGGTCTCCAACCAAGCCCCTTCTAGCATTTCTATTAATGGATGGAATCAGACACTACCATCTCTCCCACCTCCCTTCTGCCATGGTGGTTTCAGGTTTCTGTCATGCCCTCTATCTTTCCTCTTCTCCCCAGGGCTGCCATGTACAGTAATGGGGGGTATTCACTGCACAAGGACACACAGCCAAGGGAGTAAGTGGAGGCTCAAAGCCCGCCCGCACTCTGCTCAATGAGCTATGTGCCCTATTTAGCTCGGGGTTTCATTTACCCAGAGTAAAGAACACATCTTTCTAGTTTGCTCTAAGTTGCAGGATGGACAGCCCTCACTGCCCTGTCCCACGCAGAGCCCTTCTTCTGCTCTTCTGTGTCCCTTTCCTCCTACCATCACGAGTCTGACCCAGGGCAGATCTGAGGGCAGCATTCACACGAAGTGTCTTGAGAAGGGTGGGCAGCAGCTGGCTCCTCTCTGAGGCTCTCTGCCTCCTAAACCCCGTGGTGCTTTTCCTCTTCTTATCAATGCTGCGACTTGCCTCTCAAAATTGCTCTGCCGTCATTAACACCGTGGATTAGGTCAGACAAGAGCATGTTTGCAGTCTTGGATGGCAAAGGCAAAGCGCTGATGCTGATTATTCCAGATCTTCTGGGCATGGCCCATTCCGTGCTCATAGTTCTTAATCAGAGGGACGAGCACTGGTTATGTGGCTGGGGTGGGGGTGGTGGGGTGGTGGGTGGAGCAGGGCCATGGTCAGTTCTAATCTGGCTGCCGGGCCCAGACAACACGTCTGCAGCACTTGCTGGCCTGGCGGCCAGCTTGCCTGAGCATGACAGGTGACCTCAGCAACTTGGCATTAGCTGATGCCTCAAAGAAGAAATGACCCATCCGATGGCATGCCTCTGGCTGCTTTTGAACCATCAGCGATTCATCTGAGCAAGGAGTGTGAGCATTTGGCCTTGGGCCTGATCAGCAAGCTTTGCGTTCTGGGGTTCACTCTGTTGGCCCTGTAGCTGGGTGGGGAGGTCTTCCAGACACCAGCCGTCCTTCAGTGTCCCCTTCAGAAAAGCTCCTGCGCCTGGAGGAGGCCTTGCATCATGGCCCCTCACCCCTGGCCTTGCATTCTACCACCTCCCCCTTCACCCTGTCCTCCAGCCACGCTGCCACAAAACAGCAATCGTCAGCCACTGAGCCAACGACTGACCAAAAAATTGGGGCATAAACACCCCTGATCTGTCACCCCTCTGGTGGACTAAGTTTGAGGCATGTTCTACCTAGTCTGCCAGAGCTCCTCAGTGGGGATGAGCCTTAGGCGCCCAGGGATAACCGGCTTGGTAAACCACCCATATTGCCTGCTTACCTGTAGTCTCACCTCTGTACTCTCCCCCCAGGGTGTTTCCTTCTTTTCCCAAATACACCACTCACACTTCAATCTTTCTCAGGGTTTGCTTCTGGGGGAACCAAACATACATCACCTTCAATGACCTACTCAAGATCACCTTTATTAAAGAGAGAGCGCTTGTTCACAGAGGGAAGGGGTGCAGAGGGAGAGGGAAAGAATCTTAAGCAGGCTCCATGGCCAGGATGGAGTCTGACGCAAGGCTCAGTCTCACGACCCTGAGATCATGACCCAAGCTGAAATCAAGAATCAGAAGCTGGGGTGCCTGGCTGGCTCAGTTATTAAGCATCTACCTTTGGCTCAGATCATGATCTCAGGGTCCTAGGATTGAGCCCCACATCATGCTCCCTGCTCGGCCGGAAGTCTGCTTCTCCCTCTTTTACTCCCCCTGCTTGTGTTTCCTCTCTCTCTGGGTCTCTCTCTGTGTCTTTGTCAAATAAATAAATAAATCTTTAAAAAACAAAAAAAGAGTCAGATGCTTAACTGACTGAGCCCCCTGGGGAATCCCCAGACCACCTCTTTTTGCAGTTTTCCCTGACCGTCCCTTGTTCCCACTCCTGAGGCAGAACTGTTGGCCACTCTTTTCCATTCCCAGGGCCTTTATAACTCCTTCAACAACACCCCTCATGATGCATTGTGGCTTAAATGTCTGCAAGTCCTGGGACCCCTACTAGCCTGCAGACTCTTTAGGGACAAAGTCTTTCTTGCATCTATATTCTTGGAGCCTAGGACACCCCCTGGCACAGAACAGGTACCCGAAACAATGTTTTGCCAAAACCCAGCAGTGGAAATGCAATGACTGAGAGGGAATGGAGAGAAACAGACAAGTAGAGAATCATTTGAGAAAGAGGCCCTGGGGCTGCTCTCCCAGGTGCTGTCACATTGCAAGGTAACATGATAGAACTTCAGTCTCACTACTCACCTAATGGACAACCTTTAGTGGCTCCCTATGGTTGGGAGTAGGTCCCTGATTTCGTAGACGGTTTTTAAGACCATCAGCTGGCCCCATCCCAAGAGGCAGTCAAACTTGGGTTCCAAAGACCAGGGTTCAAATTCTCACTCTACCAGTTCCCAGCTGGAGGTTCATGGGCAAGTTCCTTAGCCTCCCTGGCCACTAGCTTCCTATTTATTAAATGCAGATAGTAATGCCTCACACCTGTAATTATTTTTTGAGAATTTAAAGTCATATATGGTCATTGTGAGATATACTAAAACCACTGAACTGTATACTTTAAAATGGTGAATTGTATGGTATGGGAATAATATCTTAAAAAAAAACAAAATTAAGCATGGAATCTAGGAAGGGTAGGCTCTTTGAAAATTGAATGGTGGTTGTCAAGAAGTTTCCCAAGTGGCCCTGGCAGTGGGCCAGGCACACAGTAGGTCTTCAGTAAGTACGGCTGGAATGAACAGATAACATATTCCACAAGTATGTCTGGAAAATCGTCTAGGAGAGGGTGTGGGTGGTGGGAGGGTGGAGGGCATAGAAATTCCAAGCCCAGAATTGCATCTCTCAGGAAAGGAGGCCGGAATTAATCTCTGGGGAGATAGGGCCACAGGCTCAAACCGAGAGTGGGGCCTTTGGACCCAGGGCTGACCCTCTGCCCCCTTGGTGTCAGTCCAGGGTGGCAGAAGGAGTCCAGTTCAACCCAAGCCGTGGGTAAACACGAAACACTTAACCTAGGCCAAGGAATATGCTTTTATATTCATCTTTAACTCTGGCTGTTTCTCATGTTCTAAGAATTGACTTCAGACAGCGGCTGAAGGCATGGACCAGAGGGCGTGGCTTTTCCGGGTCCAGCCTCAGGCTCTCGGCTGCAGCGGGGCGGGGGGGTGGGGGGGAGTTGGTAAAAGGGGCTCCATCTCAGCAAAGCTTGCAGGGGGACTGAGGAGGGGCTGCGGGGGATTTTCTGGAGAAGAGTTTATGCGTGCAGCCCCTGGGGAGACGCCACGGCGCCGCGACCCCCGGGTCTGGAAGGGCCTTGCTGAGGCAGGGTGGGGCCTGTCCCGCCTTGAGGCCATGAAGGACTTGGTTGGGAGTTGGGGGTACCTGAGAGGTGCCTCTACTGTCCCCTTGCTCCCAGCGGAGGGATCAGATCCCGGCACACAGCAGGCGCCTACTCGGTGCTGGTTGGATAGGAGCCCAGGTTAATCCGGCCACCCTCTCAGTCTGGTGGAGGAAGCTTCTAGACCCCAGGGGCTGGCTCAGCTGTGTGGTCACGACTGGCCGGGGATGGGGAGGGAGCTGACGTGTGGCTTATGTGGCTGGCTCCGGGTGGCCAGGCCCCGCGGGAGCCAGAGGAGTATGGAGGAGCGCCCGTGCACAGACCCTGCCTAGGCCTAACGGCCCTCCCCGGAAAACCGAGGAGGCCCCTCGGGCCATTGGGGTGGTCCCCACACCCCTCCAGAAGAGATGTGATTCTGTTTATAGGCTGACACCTGCCACCCCCACCCCCGGTTGGGCGCACCCTCAGCAAAGAGCACCCCCAAACCTCCTGGGGGGGTGATGTCTCTTTTGCGCACATCGCTCCCACCTAGCCCCGCACGGACCCTTCTCAGACAGACAGCCCCTGGTTCTCAAAACCCCCCTCCCTCTTCCAGTCGGAAACCCCTGAGGTGCTGGGGGTGGGCGCAGAGGGAGCCGCTCACCGCCCGGACCGTCTCTGGGTGTCACCACCCCCCAGGCTCCCAGCATCTGGAGCCGTATCCCCACGCCCGCCACGCGCGCACACACGCACACACAGAGACTCACGCTCACACAGACACACTCACACCCGTGCGCAGACCCCGCCCGCGGCCCCGCCCCGGCCCCTGCGGGCGCCCCCTCCGGCTCTCGTGGACCCCGCACGCAGCCCGCCCCAGCTGGCGGGAGGCGGCGGCTTCGGGCAGATTTGATTTTCCCGCAGCCCGGGCGCCCCGAAGCCCGAGACCGAGCCCGAGCCGAGGAGGTGGCGCTCGCACCGGGTCCCCGGCCCCGCTGCCGCCCGCGCCGAGCTCCAGGGAGAGGCGGCGCAGCCTCGGCGCTCCGGGCTCCGCGCTGCCGGCGTCCGGCCACCCCCGCCGCCCGCGCCGGATCCGGCCCCCCACGCCCCTCTTCCCTCTTCCCTCTTCCTCACGCCTTCGGTCCCCACCCGAAGCTGCACACCCCTCTCCCCATACCCTTCCCCACGACTACGCGCGCGTCCCTCCCGGTGTCCTCTCCCCGCGCCCCTCCGCCTCTCTCCGCTGCGCCCCAGCTCCGTGGGCACCTGGCCCCTCTCTGCCGGCCCCCCAGCCTCCTCGTCGCGTCACCCGCACCCCCTCCTCTATCCGCGGCCCCCGCTCCCTCCGCCCCCCCTTCCCTCTCTCACTTCCCACGCCCCCTCTTCGCGCTCCTCTCTCCTCCCTTTGCCGCCCAGCACAGGCTCCGGAGTTGGGGGAGAGCCCAGGGTTTCAGTCGCTTTGGAGGAGGCGTGAATCGCGCAGGGATTGACTAATTGGGGGTGGGGGGCGCGGTGGGCGATGGAGCAGCCCGAGGACATGGCGTCGCTGAGCGAGTTCGACTCCTTGGCGGGCAGCATCCCGGCCACCAAGGTGGAGATAACCGTGTCCTGCAGGTGAGCCGCCCGCTGACCGGGTCCCCCTGCCCCGCCCCTGGACCTGGAGCCCCGCGGCCCCCGCCGCGCCGACCCTCTACCCTCGCGCGCCCCCTTTCAGAGTGTCCTTGCCTCCAGGACCCCCCCTTGCCTGTCCAGCGGGAGCCCCTGCCCAGCCATGGGTGGTGACGGCGGAATGGGAAGGCAGGCTTGGGGTCGTATCGCAGAAAGTTTGGACTCCAGGCGGCTGCGGAGAGGAGAAATACAGACACAGGAACAAGGGTCCAGATGCCAGAGGAAGGAGAAGGTGGTAGTGAAAGGCTATCCCAGGCTATTTCTGATCAACTCCTCCCCAAATGGAGAAGTGAGTGATTTGCCCCATCCTTCCCAGGCATAACCAGCCTCTGCCTTTTGTGCCCTTCTCTCCTCTCTTCTCCCTGCTCGTTTGCCCCAACACCCTCCTCTCCTCCCCGCCCACCCAGTGTCCTAGACCCCAAGATTTAAAGCTTTTCTTCACCTCCAACAGCAAAACTGACTCGTGGAAAGGGATTGATCAGATTGATTCATTCCTACTGAGCTGTGGATAACTGATAATAACTTCAAGGGGCATCATTAAAAAAAAACAACAACAATAACTTAGGTACAAAATCTTAAGCGAAAGGATTACAGCACTGAGTGTGGAATTTGAGAGTCCAGTAGGGGAGGGGAGGTGTGTTTTTGTGGGCTACCACCCCCAAATCCTCAGTTATGTTACAGACTTTGGGGGTATCTCCCCCTGTTTCTCCTATCTTAGGAGAAGGTTGCCCCAAGCAGTAAGTGGGTACTAGTGGAGAAGGGGTATTTTTCTCTAGTTCAGTCATGGCCTCGGGCTGGCTTATGGTCACTACCTGGCTGGGGCTGTGAGGGGTACTGTGGCCCAGGCATAGCCCCCCTTGATATTCCCCTGGAGATGCCATTCCTCCCTCCTCAGGTGACCAACAGCATTTCCCTAGTCCTGGCTGTATGCTTGTTCCAAATCGCCCACCTCATTTTTGCCCAGGTCCCTCTCTGGTCAGACCCTCCACTCACCCTCACAGCCTCCCAACCCTCTTTTCCAAAGTTGTGGCACTGCTATGTGTGTGTGTGTGGGGGGGGGTGTGGGGGGGGTGTAAACCAAGCCAGAGGTACTGGGCTGATGTCTGAGAAAGGGAGGGACTGAGGGGATTTGAGGGTGAGTGGGAGTGAGGGCTGGTGAAGTAGACCACAGCCCCCCCACCCCCACCCATGCTGGGCCCTTCCTGGGTCTTCTGTGATAGCTCCCACATGTCTCCGCCGTGGTCCTGCACATCCCTATCAGAATTATCGCCTGACACCATTTGCATCTTGCCAATTCGCTGCTGGGAGATTCCTGATGGCCCCTTAGCTCTCATCTCACCTCCTCAGCCATCAACAGTTGCCAGGGCCTGCCTTCCCTCCCCTGTGAAGCACACATCCGATGCTCCCTCCTAGCTTGTCAGGCTCCTATCAGAGCTGTCCTCTGGATCCTTGTCACCGCGGAGCTCTGAGCAGCTGATTCCCCATCCTGATTTCACCCCTCCTTCATCTCCACCAGTTCGTGTCCCCCCCATCCTGAAAACCCTAGCCTCATGCCCCACACTTCCAGCCATCTTTCTCACCCATGAGACACCCAGCCTGAATCACATAGTCTTCTGTGTTCTCTGGGTCCTGAGTCCTCAGCTGGGGGTCAGGGGTATTACTCACAGACCAAGTGCTCAGCCTCTGAAGGCGGTTTAGACTTCATCCCTCCTCCCCCAAAACAACTGTACAAAATAAGCATTTGAGGCAGGGATCCCTACCCTGGCTCTGACCCACAAACCCTCCACTGTAGTGGAGAGGAGACAAGGCGGAGAGTGCATGGCGCAGTGGCTTCGGGGTCCGACACCTTGAAATGGATGCTGCTTCACCCTTTGCAACAAACTTTTAGTCTCCATCGTCCCCATTTGACAAGGGCACACAATGAACCTGCATTCGAGAAATCTTACTTGCTGAGGGAGCTCCCGTGCTTAGAAGAGTGGTTGGCATGTATTCTCAACAAATACTTTTGGAGGAATCAACTTCCAGGAATCGAGGGTCAAGAAGCACACAGCACACTGCTTTGCACTAGCTTGGCATGTGGTAGGTGCTCAGTAAGTGGTTACGATGATTCCTGTAAGGCAGTAGTGCTTGGCTCCTCCTGTTTGCTCTCTGAAAGTGGAGGTGTCCAAAGGACTCAAACTTTTTGCTCAAGAAGTACCTATGGATGCCTGCGAGTGCCTGGGGAAAGTGGTTTGGGATCAAGCCCAGGATCTCTTCCCTCTCAAGAGACGTGACCCATCAGCCTGAGGAGGGCCTGCCTCGGGGGTTCTCCTGAAAGCCACAGGGGTGGGAAGTAGGTTCTGGGAGGAAGAATGTGGAGGCAGGAGTCACCTGGAATAGAGGGGAGACAAGAAAACAGTTTGCGTGGGCTTGAGTTTGTAAATCCATCTCTTTGCCTCAATAAAGCCCAACTACCTGGGTTCTAGAAGAGAGAGAGAATAAGAGAGAGAGAGAAGGAAAAGGGGGAGGGGGTGAAGCGGAGCATGGGGAGGAGAGAGGGCTGCTCAGAATGGCTTTCTTCAGCATATTCTATACTCCATGGTCATAAGTCTTCCTCCACTGTACCCATGATCCTGACAGGGTCCCAGGAGAGGAGGCTAAGGGGTGCCCTGCCCTGGGCATCCAAGTGACACATGCTGGTTGGGCAGGAAATAGTAAGGCAGGGGCGCCTGGGTGGTTCAGTGGGTTAAAGCCGCTGCCTTTGGCTCAGGTCATGATCTCAGGGTCCTGGGATCGAGCCCCGCATCGGACTCTTTGCTCAGTGGGGAGCCTGCTTCCCTTCCTCTCTCTCTGCCTGCCTCTCTGCCTGCTTGTGATCTCTGTCTAATAAATAAATAAAATCTTAAAAAAAAAATAGTAAGGCAGGCAGAGGGGTTGGTGGGGGCTCTAGAATGGGCAGCTGGGGTTGAGGAGGCCCAACATTTCAGGTAACTGGAAACTAGCATTTCTGGGATCCGGTTACCATCCTGCTGTGCTCTGCTTCTTAGGAAGGTCCCTGCCACCCCCTGCAGCCCCAGGAGGCTATCTCTGCACTTGCCTCGGAGAAGACCCAACCCCCCCCGCCCCGCCATGCCTAGCCTACAGCACTCCTAGCTGAGCCCAGCTGCCTGGTAGAGGGGCACGTCTGAGCCCCAGCACAGCCAAACCTCTGCTAAAAGCACATGACACTGTGGGATGGGACATATTTGTGTCCCTGCTTTGGGTAGAGTATTTCTTGGGCTGAAGATCTATATAGTCCACTCCCAAACAGTGGTTGTTAGCAACTTTGGTAGATTCAGGGTCAAATATTGTAAAGCTTCTGGTGGTTAGGCTCAATGGTTAGGAACGTGGGCTGTGGGGTCTGTCTACCTGGGTTCAAATCCCAGCTCTGTCCTTGAGACATTGCATAAATGACTTCATCTGTGTTTCAGTTTCCTCATCTATAAGAGATGCGCACTAATTCTTTTCTTTTTTTTAACATTATTTATTTATTTATTTATTTATTTATTTATTTAACAGAGAGAGAGAGATCACAAGCAGGCAGAAAGGCGGGGGTGGGGTGGGGGGAAATCAGGCTCCCTGCCTAGCAGAGAGCCCGATGCGATGCAGGGCTCGATCCCAGGACCTGAGATCATGACCCGAGCAGAAGGCAGATGTGCACTAATTCTTATCACAGCTATGAGGGTGAAGTGGATTCATCCACCAGTGTTAATTTGCCTATTATTTGACACCTGAAAGTAAATAAAAAAAAAAAAATCTGTCTTTCTAGCTGGGTCCCAAGGTTTGTGTGGGTCCTGGAGATCTGATCCATCGAGAGATTCTTATTTGCCCCTACCCCCCCCAGCTTTATTGAGATATATATGACATATTGTGCACATTTAGATTTTCTGAGGGGTTTTTTGGGAGTGAGTAGGATAGATGGTTTGTGGAACCACATACCAGCAGACATTGTAGAAAATGTGAGCCTCAAGCTTCTCCTCCCTCTGGCCCTCTGTTCCAGACCTCTCCTGACTCTTAGCCTCCCCGCCAGACCCAGTCAGAAGTCAAGCTATCCAGCGTCCCATTTCCCAAAGTCCTCACTGTTTTTCAGGTCTCTCTATGTAGGGATCTGGACCAGCAAAGTGTGGCTTAGAAAGAGTGATTTGCATTTTTTATGTAACAGGAAACCTTTGCACTTCCACGGGGTCCTGCTGGAAGAAGGGGTGCATAGTTTCACATGGTGGGGCTCCTGAGACCCATCGGGAGGTTGAGGAGGGGAGGGTCCAGAGGTGGGCAGTTGCTGGGCCCTGCTGGGATCCCTCAAGCAGCTGCCCTGTTCCTGCCAGTGGGCGGGGCTGGTGGGCAGCTGTCATCTCTGCCCCCAAGATATTTTCCGCTGTCTGTTCAGGTTGGCGGTTTGCTGCCCTGGGGCCTGAGAGGCAGCCTAGCTCAGGAGCCGTGCCCTAGGCCTCTCAGAAGGGGGTGTGAATGGGCTCTGAATGCTTTCTTCTGACAGGCTTGGGGAGGGTGGCTTTGGGGAAGAGAGAGCCTGGGCACTGCACGACAGCTGTCAAAGCCAGAGCTAGGAAAAAAAAGGTCCATCCAGCCACTGAATATTCCACGGCCCTCCTTAGTTGAACCGGGGGAATGGAAACAGTGGGGTTTACTGAGTGCTCACTACATGCTAGGCGCTTTACATCTGTATTAGGCTGAACCATATGCAGTTGCCTATATTCAGCTGTTTTTGACCTACTTGATTAGCAATTTGGTTCAAACTGAGATTATGATGTTAATTTCCAATTGCCACGTAATACGTAATACGTTACCACAAAGCTAGCGGCTTAAAGCAACAGCCGTTTATAATCTCACGGCTTCAGTAGGTCAGAAGCATATCTGGCCTTTCCGCTCAGGGTCCCCCTAGGCTGAAAGCAAGCTGTCTGCAGGGGCTG